CGTCTCTGTTTGATCTTCTGAGATCAAAGAAAGTGCCAGCTTGCAGCGGGGCTGCTGGCGTGTCCCCGGCCACCGATGGAGCCCGGGCTGGCTGCTGGGGCAGGGAACGCGGCTGCGAGTGAGTCCAGGGCGCTGGCTGGTTCTGCTCTGCTTACAGATGCAAAAAATGTAGAGATGCAAAAATCGGTGTTTATTTCTGTGTGGGTGCAGGTGGGTGTATTCCTCCCGCGGTGCTTCCTCTCTCCCCAAGGCTGCAGGGCGGCGAGCGTGCCCTGGCCGTACCCCGTCCCGGCAGCCTTTTGAGGGCATCCAGCCCTCCCCAAGCCGTGGAGGTCGGGGCCGGGAAGGGTATGGGACGAACATCCTTCCTGCCCCGACTTGTCCCAGCTGCCCTGAGGCTGCCCCACGGGATGGGCCCTGGGGGGTGATGGGTTTGTCCGTCCCGAGGGGACCCGGAGTTGCTCCTGTCCCCGCGGGAGGTCCCAGCGCGACGGAGCTGTTGTGTGGCCTTTACAAAGTGTTACGGCAGGAAAAACTCGGGTTTAATGAGCGCTTCAGCTATTAGGGAATGTAAAAGTCTTAAAACTAATCGAAACAAGCTGGAAATGCAATTTTTCAGCCTGAACAGAGGAAGCTGGGGTGGGGGGAAAGGGCTTTGGGCTCTTCCCTGCGCTGTTTCCCGGGCAGCCATGTTGCTTCAGGCCAGAGCTGCGTCTGCTGAGAAGGCGAAGTCCCATCCCCGGACCCTCGCCTCTGCGAATTACTTCCACTTTTAGAGGAAAGAAAGAAAAAAATATATATAGCTTGAAAGTGCATGTAAAATCCCATTTCTTTGCTCCTTAGATGCTTGGAGATGGCTTCAGTTCCTCTGAGGTGTCTTACTGATGCCCTCGTGGTACCATATAAACCCTTTCTGCAGATGCTCGCGACGCAGGAACGCGTTACGGTGATTTTCTGTCGTGGGCCCTTGTGAAACGGGTCGATACGGATGGCGTCGGGGGGACGCTGATGGGAGGACGCTGCGTGGGTGACCGTCCCGCCCGCGGCAGGAGGAGCAGCTGCGGGCCCTCGCTGCTCTCCATCTTTTCCAAATTATTTCCCAAATTTTCCATTGTTTCCCCCAGTTTTCTGCTTTTTTGCCCCACGTACAAAGCGGTGTGACCCCGCAGCCTCCGCCCGCAGCAGCGCATGCCGCTGGTCCCTGCCCTCTCCCCTTGCCGCCCCGGCACCAACCCCGGGGTGC